GATATTAATAATGTACTTAATACAGGTGAAGTGCCTAATTTATGGGCAGCCGAAGATATTGAAGAAATTATTAATGATGTCAGACAATTGGCAAAGGATAAGGGTTTATATGATTCAAGAGATGTTCTACTTAAATTTTTTGTAAGTCGAGTAAGAGAGAATTTACACATTGTGTTAGCATTTTCACCTGTAGGAGAAAAGTTGAGAAATAGATGCAGATAATTCCCATCAATTATTAATTGTTGTACCATTGATTGGTTTGATAAATGGCCAGATGAAGCTCTAAATAGTGTTGCAATGAAAGATTTGGGAGGTTAGGAACATTTAGGTATTGGGGAATTTGTCGATAGCTTAGCTTCCATGTCTGTTATAATACATTCAGATGTGAAAACATATAGTGAAAGATTTTATGATGAATTAAGAAGAAAGAACTATGTTACACCTACAAGTTATTTAGAATTGTTGAAATTATATATAGACATGATGAAAGTGTAATCAAATATATTACCTTAAAAAATAAAGAAATATACAGTAGGTTTATAAACTTTGAAGGATACTAATGAGGAAGTTGGAAAATTATAAAAGAAAATTATTGAGTTTTAACCTATTCTTGAATAAAGTGCAAAAGATAATGCTAAAATGATGGTTGAATTAGAAGGTAAATCAAAAGAAGCTAATGTAACTGAATAAATTGTTTCAAAAGAAGCTGCAGAGGCATAAAAGAAAAAGGATGAAGTTAATGAGATGAGAGATTCCTGTTAGGCTGAATTAGATTAAGCATTACCAATCTTGGAATAAGCTTAAAAAGCAGTTTAAAGTATAGATAAAGCTGCCATCAATGAAATGAAAGCCTTAAAGACTCCACCAAATTTAGTGTAAATTGTTATGTGTGCAGTCAACTTACTCTTCGATTTAAAAGAAGATTGGCCATCTGCTTAGAAGCTACTTGGTCGTATGAATTTTATTCAAGAATTACTTGATTTTGATGTTACAACAGTTCCAGAAAGAAGATTATAGAAATTGAAATAAACTTATCTTAACAATCCTGATTTCAATAAAGAAAAGATTTAGAATGTATCTTAAGCAGCTACAACTTTGTTGGTATGGGTAGTTGCAACTGAAAAGTTTGCATAAGTTAAAAAAGTAGTTGGTCCTAAAGAGAAGGCATTAAAAGAAGCTGAAGCATCATTGAAGAAAGTTGAATAGGAATTGGCAATAAAGATGGGATAATTGAAGGAAGTATAAGATATGGTTAATGAACTTAAGAGAAATCTTCAGACATCTATTAATAAATCTGAAATGTTGAAATAACAATAATAGACAGCTGAAATTTAATTAGTAAGAGCAGAGAAGTTAGTTTCAGGATTAGCTAGTGAGGCTGAAAGATGGAAAGTTAATGCTGCATTATTGGAGGAAGATTTAAGAAATCTTGTTGGTAATATTATTTTGGCTGCTGGATCTATTGCATATCTTGGACCATTTACTTATAATTATAGAACTGAGATTATATCAAAATGGATTAATAATTGTAAAGAGTTGAGTATTCCTGTTAGTGATAATTTTACTCTTTAAAGAATTTTAGCAGAAGAAGTAACAATAAGAGAATGGTAAGAAGCTGGATTACCTGCAGATAATTTATCAATTGATAATGGAATCTTTGTTTTTAATTGCAGAAGATGGCCATTAATTATAGATCCATAAGGTTAAGCAAATAAGTGGATTAAAGCATTGGGAAAGGAAACTAATTTGCAAATTACTAAATTAAGTGAAAGCAATTTCCTCAAAACTCTTGAAAACTCTATTCGTTTTGGATAATAAGTATTAATGGAAAATGTAGAGGAAGATCTTGACCCTTCTTTAGAACCTATATTATAAAAACAAATTTTCAAAAAAGGAGCTCAATCTTTATTACGTTTAGGAGACTAAGATATACCATACAACAATGATTTCAAATTATATTTTACTACAAAATTGCCAAATCCTCACTATATACCTGAAATCAGTATTAAAACAACAATCATTAACTTTACTGTCACACCATAAGGATTAGAAGATCAATTGTTGGTTGAAGTTGTAAGATAAGAAAGAATTGATTTGGAAGAAAAAAGAGTTAATTTAATACTTTAAATATCTTAAGACAAGAGATAATTATAAGAATTGGAGGATAAGATATTGAAGTTAATATCTGAAGCTTAAGGTAGAATATTGGAAGAAGAAGATTTAATTACAACTTTGGATGCATCTAAAATTACATCTGATACTGTCAATTAACGTATGGCATAATCTAAGATTACTGCTGAAGAAATCAATTAAGCAAGAGAACAATATCGTATTATTGCTAGAAGAGGATCAGTTATTTACTTTGTTATTGCAGATCTTGCTTTGATTGATCCTATGTATTAATATTCTTTAGAATTCTTTATTAAATTATTTAAGAAGAGATTAGAAGTTGCACCTAATCCTCCATCATTAGAAGAAAGATTAGCAGTGTTGATTGATGATATTACTAAAGCATTTTATATTAATATTTGTAGAGGATTATTTGAGAAAGATAAGTTATTATTTAGTTTCTTGATTGCTAGTAAAATTTAATTACAAGCATAATATATACATGTTAGGGAATGGAATATCTTTTTAAGAGGAGGCACTGGCACAGTACCAAATGAAGAACATCCTTCATTCTTAAGTGAGAAAACATGGAAGAATTGCATGATGTTAAGTAAATAATCTCATGTCTTTGCATAAGTACCAATGTCATTAAAAGACAGTAATGATGAATCATTATGGAGAGAAGTAATGGATGCTTAAGATCCATGGAAATGTGATTTACCTCTTGTATTTCGTTCATTGGATCCATTTTAAAAATTATTATTATTCAAAACACTTAGAGATGAGAAATTGGTTATTTTAATTAAAAATTATGTGTCAGATACTATAACATCATTTTTCATTGAACCCCCTGTTTTTAATTTGAAAGCTGCCTTTTAAGATTCTTCTTGTACAACTCCAATTATATTTGTATTATCTCCTGGAGCTGATCCAATAACATATTTATTAAACTTGGCTAAAGATATGGAAATGGAAACTAAATTAAAAATTATTTCATTAGGTTAAGGATAAGGTAATATTGCAAAGGAATTGATTAAAACAGGTAGAAGAACAGGAGATTGGGTTTGTTTATAGAATTGTCACTTGGCTATAACATGGATGCCAGAATTAGAGAGAATTTAAGAATTATAAGTAGAAGCAGATACAGATGCCAATTATAGATTATGGTTAACAAGTATGCCTACAGATAAATTCCCTGTTCCAGTATTATAGAGTGGTATCAAATTAACAAATGAACCACCTAAAGGATTAAAAGCTAATATGATGAGAACTTATAATGATATATCAGGTTATGATTCTTGCACTAAGTAAGATGAATATAAGAAACTGTTATTCTCATTAGCTTTCTTCCATGCAGTTATTTTAGAAAGGAGAAAGTTTGGACCAATTGGTTGGAATATTCCATATGAATGGATGAATTCAGATTTCGAAACTTGTTAATTACAATTGAAAATGTATTTAGATGAATAACCAGAAGTTCCATATTAAACATTGAATTATATAATTTCAGAAATCAATTATGGTGGTAGAGTTACAGATGATAAGGATGTTAGATTAATTACTGATCTACTTAAATAATATTTCTGTCCTGCTGTTCTAAATGATCCAAACTATATATTCTCATCTAGTGGTGTTTATCATCCACCTTAGATTATAGATTTACAATCTGTTATTTAATATATAAGTTCATTACCTTTAGAAGATGACCCAGAAGTTTTTGGTTTACATACTAATGCTAATATTACTTTCTAATAAAAAACAGTGGCTGAATTTATGAGTACTTTATTGTCAGTACAACCAAGAATGGTAGCAGAAAAGGGAGTAGAGGAAACACCTGATTAAATTGTGTTTAAAATAGCCAAAGAAATTTTAGGAAAATTGCCTCCACTTTTAGTTTAGAAGAAGGAAGTATCTACCGAATCATTAGTTATCTTTAGATCATAAGAAGTTGATCGTTTTATTAAATTAGTTCGAGTTATGAAAAATTCATTGGAATTATTGTAAAAGGCTATTCAAGGATTAGTTGTTATGTCAATTGAATTAGAAAAAATGTTTAATTCTTTCTTGGATGCTAAGGTTCCTGAAAATTGGGAAAATGTAGCTTATCCATCTCTAAAACCCTTAGGTTCCTGGGTTACAGATCTCAACTAAAGATTGGTATTTATGAAAATAATTTATTTTTAGGAATTCTTTAAATAGTGGCTTGAAAATGGAACTATGAAATCTTATTGGTTATCAGCTATGTTCTTCCCTCAAGGTTTTATGACTGCCACAAAATAAACTTATGCTCGTAAAACAAAAACTCCTATTGATACTTTGACATTTAGAACTTAAGTTAGACCATTCTACAAAGACAATATTTAAGATGTTCCTTAAGATGGTATATAAAATATATAATATTTAGGTGTCAATATTGATGGTCTCTATTTACAAGGATGCAAATGGGATGTTGGAACTAATCAATTGGAGGAATCTGATCCTTTAGTTTTATTCCAAGAAATGCCAGTTGTTTGGTAATAATTTAAATTCTATTAAAATAGGCTTGAACCTGTAATAGCATCAGCTTAAAATAAAAATCCTTAGAAATTGTACAAATGTCCTCTTTACAAGACTTCTACAAGAAGAGGAACACTATCAACAACAGGTCATTCAACTAATTTTGTTTTATATTTGGAATTAACTACTGGTGTCGAACCAGCAGTTTGGACTAGACGTGGAGTTGCACTATTATGTCAACTTGATGATTGATTTTCATTTATCAATAATTATAATAATTTAACTTGATAAAGTGTTACATTAAATTTGGTTATATTGAAGCATTTTCTCACTAAGAAATTTGATTCTTAATTAGTATGTTTTTTTATGTAAAACATAAATTTTATTTTGTTTGTAAATGTCTAAGCTTAAACTACAAGTAAATACATCTAATCATTCTAGTTTTGCCCTGGTCCATCATTACAGAGTTCTGTAAGCAAAAATCAAAAAATACTTTAAGGAAATTAACAGGATCCTATATCTGCATAGTAATAGGAAAATCTAATTAATTTGGGGAACACTGATTAGAAACGAAGAAACAATTATGCTGGAGATCGCTTTATTCCAACTATCAAAAAGAAATTTAGTATTCTCACAGAAACTAAAGCACCAGCTTAAGATATAGCTTCATCTTAAGCTGCACTTGAAATGCTCTATAAATAATAAATCTTAGATTAAGAGCCTATTATAGAATCTGAGAACGGTTCACTTAAATTTATTAATCAAAATAACTTTCAATACAAGAATGAACATGTACATTATATTGATTCGATTGATCCAAAAAACTATAATAGGTATCTATAATTAAATATTCTAGTCCTCTTGTTGATCATAAATACTTTGCTTTGCCAGAAACAATATCAAGTTACTATGGAAAATATATAAGAAAAATTCCGAAAGTGCCATTTAAAGTGTTAGATGCTCCTTAATTATAAGATGATTTTTATTTAAATTTAATTGATTGGAGCAATTAAAACACTTTATCAGTAGCTCTCAACAATTGTGTTTATTTATGGTACCAATTAAAATCTAATTAGGAATGCTTAATCTTCAAAAGTTACGAAATTGCTTGATCTTTGTAATGATGTAGTAACAAGTGTTGGATGGTCATTACGAGGACCATTATTAGGAGTAGGAACTAATAATGGAGAAGTATAAATATGGGATGCTTGTAAGTTATAAAAAGTCAGAACATATAAAAGTCATATTGCTAGAGTTGGTACTCTTTGCTTTGCTGAAAGTATTTTAAGTAGTGGTTCAAGAGATAAATCAATAATTCAAAGAGATATACGATAAAAAGAAGATTTTTTTTTCAAATCTATAGCACATAAATAAGAAGTTTGTGGTTTGAAATGGTCTCCTGATAGCTAATTATTAGCTTCAGGTGGAAATGATAATAAATTGTATATTTGGAGTGCAGCTTAATATGATAAACCAATCTTCAAATTTAATGAACATTAAGCAGCAGTTAAAGCTATAGCTTGGAGTCCACATTAACATGGATTATTAGCTAGTGGTGGTGGAACTGCTGATAAAACAATTAGATTTTGGAATGCTTTAGAAGGAAAAATGTTATCAAAAGAAGATACTGGAAGTTAAGTCTGTAATTTAATGTTCAGTAAAATGGAAAATGAATTGATTTCAACTCATGGTTATAGTCAACATTAAATTATACTATGGAAATGTAATGGTATGAAAAGAATTGCCACTTTAATTGGTCATACTAGTCGGTATATATTTATTACAATTAAGTGTGTTATATTTGGCAATGTCTCCTGATGGATATACCATAGTGACCGGAGCTGGAGATGAGACTTTGAGATTTTGGAGTATATATCCATAATCAATTGGTAATGAATAAAATAGTAAATGTTAATTGGCACCCCATAATATCAGTATACGTTGATAAAAAATTATTTTATACTTATTTTTGTTATTAAATATCTTTTAATATAGTTATTATACTAGAAATTGAAGAGTCAATAGAATTTGTTACTTTAATTTTATAGATAAATATATATCATTAAAGCCATGGAATTTATAGTATTTACTCAGCTGATGGTCTATCATTTGCATTAATTTGCAACATGCTTTTTACCAGTTTAAAAAGTTCTACTTCATATTTACTCCAATGGGCTTTTGCAAATGATATCTTTGCTGGTTGATTCTAATTTTAAGGCATTAAATTAGGTGAATAGGCCATGATCATTTGATGAATCACTATACCAAAACACCAGATATCCATTTTAGGATCAGCTTAACAACCTATAGTTAATTCAGGTGGCATCATTGGTTATCTTTTTTTGATGAACTCATAATGAAAAGCATTTAAAATGTCTCCCTTTCTTTAGATATTTCCAAAATCTCCAAGTTTGACCTCTATTTAATTATTTAGATACTGTTCTAATTAGATCATCTAGTCCTCTTGTACAATGCAAAGTCTCTATTCTAATATCCATATGAACAAAATCTCAAATATTTAGACATATTACTTAAATTATGCAAATAATTGAGTCCTTCTGCTATATCTTAAATGTAAGATCTTAATTTTATCATATTTGTTATAGGACGTGCTTACTAAAAGTTTAAATTAATAATTATACTTCTAAAATTGCTTTCTTAAAGTAATTTGCCTCATTTAAAAACTCTAGAACTATTTTTTTTTCTTCATAGTTTTATTCTTTAACCTAAATTATTGATAATGTTATTACTTTAACAATATTAGGATGATCTAAAGTAGGATGTATCTCAAATTATTTGATAACTTAAGCTCTCCAAGTTGGATCTTATAATGCTTCAATTTGTAGTTCTTTTACAAATACCTATTTAATTTAAACAAATATTCTACTTTATTAAAATCCCAATCTAAAGCAACTATGTTCTTGTTGAAATTTGAAGGTTCAAATTCCTCTAGTTAGCTATAACTCTTTTTAGGAGGCATCCAATTCTCGTCATCTGAATCAATAATTTCACCAAAATTTTAAGGAAGTTGGTGTTATTACTTTAATGAATCATCTGAATCACTCATCAAAAATTTTATAATATATTAAAAAATTAGTGCGAAAATTTTGAATTCAAAACCCATCTGGCAATAAGTCAATCAGAGTCTTTATTCTTGTATGTATTCTTAAATCCTTATCATCTCTTCTTGTTTGAGATCCATTTTATTTTCCTTTTCTTTCAGATTTCAAAGCTTATTCACTTTCTTTTACTTTCCTTTCTAATAATTACACTATCAGTGCATCCTTCTTTTTTGCCTAAGATTTCAGTAAATGATTCTCATTCATCAAAGTTTTAAGAATTTAGGTTTAGAAAACTCTTTAAGAATCACTCCTAATAGCCATTTCAAAATGTTAATAATTTGTGATTTGTATAAAAAAATTAAAAATTATCATTTTATTAGAAAAAGAATCTAATATCTCATTAATTTTATTTCATTAACAACTAGTTTTCATTAATACTCTAAATAAAAAATTATTTGAATCTATGTAATGAATTTATATTATGAAAGATTAATAATAATATTATTCATTCCAACAATAGAATCGAAAATCCAGTATACTATTCTAAAATCTTTATCTCACTTTTTTTCTATGTAAATTATATTTTATATAGTGTTACTATTTTTAAAACAAAATAAACTTATAATATTATATATAATAATTCTATTTATTATCTTCTAGAACTAAGTCATTTTTATTTTTTAAACATTATTAATTTTAAATTCTTTGATAATTAGACATGGAAATGTTTAGACTTATAATTACATAATTTTCTAGTGTTATTCATTAATAATTTGTATTTATTAAGTTTCTTAGCCCGCTATAATTAAATTTTTTTTTATGTTGTAAGACAATTAAAGGGAAAATGAGAAAAAGCAGTACTCAATGTTTTATCCAGAAGATGAAAGATCAAAGAGCCATTTCTTAAATTAACAATACCTTACTAATTTCTTTGAATTTACTAATCATTATAAGGAACCTGATTTACAAAATTAAGGAAAATAGGAAGATAAAAACCAACCTAAATTTCCCATAATTATATAATATGAACAAGAACCTAGATATGTTAACCAGAAATAGTAATCTAATTTATTAATTCATAGATATAGACGAATCATGATTAGAAGAATTAAAAGAGCATAATAAGCATTAAAGCTAGAAGAATTGAGGACATAATAAGCAACTAAAGTTTTAGATAAATCCAATCAAAAGTATATATACGAATCAAGACATTAACATGCTCTAAAAAGAGAAAGAGGACCAGATGGAAAATTTTTAAAAAAACAGAATTCTGTTGATTCTCCATCAAAACTTTGAATTAATTCTTTGTATATTTGCTTTTTCTTTTGTTAATTATATATAACAATCAAATAAAAAAGTATAATTTATCTACTCTCAAAAATAAGTATTTATCAAATTAATTGATAAAAGCATAACTTTGAAAAGTATAATTGAATAAAATCATCTACTTAATATTTAAAATTCTTATATTAAAAATATAACAACAATTTGTTATTTAAAAATTTGTATTTTTATGAATAAATATTAACTAATTATTATTTATATTATTTTGTATTACTTAAGCTCATTTATTATTTTATACTTCATATATAGTCTTGATTAACATTGTTTAATCTAAATATAAACAAGATTAAGACAGATTAAAAGTTATAAGATAAACTGGAAGAAAAAGAAAACTGAGATTTAATTTAACACTTAATTCTTATAATTATTTAATTAAAATTAGAAATATGTTGAAATAAAATTATTCCTAAAAATGGAAAGTCTTCAGTTTACTGAATTTTAAACTTTTATAATAACAGTTAAAGCTATGTTCAAAATCAGTAAATTTTAAATTAATTAATATTTACTATGATGAATTATAAATGAATAGTTAAGATTATAATAATAGAAATAAAAAAAATATTGCTTTAAATTTGCAATAATCTATATGTATCACATATCAAATAAGTTATCAAAAATCATAATGATATCTAAATTCCAAATTTTTTAAGTTCATCTATCTTTTTTTTAGCTTTGGCAGCTGTAAAATTGTTTTAATTCAAATATAAGCTTCTTAATGGTATTTGAGCATTTTATTTAAAAAGTGTTATAATATTATCAAGACATTTTTCTGTCAAAGTATTTTGTTGAAGATGCAATGTATTAATTCTATAATTATAACAATAATAATTTACTTTGTTTAAGTTATACTCAAGACTAACTTGTATAATAAATCATCTGTTAATTTACATTTACTTAATTTTAAGACCTTAACAGTTTGAGTACCTTTTAAATAATCTCCCAATATTTATATAATTTGATCATTAAAATCTAGGTAAAAATAATATTATTACCTATGGAACTTAAATCTATGATTTCAACTTTGTCTTAATGAATGATACTGAATGTATTAGATAGTTTATCATTCATTTTTTAATTATTTGTAAATTTCTTCTATTATTATTTTTAATTACTATTTTAATTGTTATTATTAATTTTAGATTGTTTTTAAACAAGAATTTATGAAACATCTAATAATTCATGATGTGATAATGTCATGCTTCTTTCTTTTAATTTTATAGGTTAGTTTTGATTAGAAGCAAAATTAATTGATTTAGTCATATCTTAAGATGGTGAAGTTGGTTGGGTTGGTTATTGTGATTAAGAAAATATACCTGAATATCTTTTTCCTTTTGATGCATCAATTTAAAATGGTTTCTACTATTCATATTATTGGAATGTTTCTTCTTACAATTATCTATCATCTAATAGAAAATCTGATTGATCAATTTTTTTTATAGGATCTTTCTCTTCTAAAATAGATTCTAGAGGTTAAGTAAATTCTTATTTAAGTACTTCTGATTTAGTTTTGTTTAGTCCCATCATTTTGTTAATGTAATTTAAAATGATCTAAATAGGAACCTAAACATCAAGTGAATTATAAGTTTATTCAATTTTTATGTTAATTTGTTGTTTAATTTTATCAAATTAAGAAATCAAAATTTCAGCTTGTTTAACTATTTAATCATCAAATTTTCGACATTTCTATTCTTCAGAATCTTCTAATAATAAGCTTAATTAGATATTAGCTTAATTTAACCATTTATCAGCTTCAATTTATAATGAAATAAATTCTGAATCAAGTTTATTGGATTAATGTTCAATAGAATTTTAATAATTAAGTTCAATCTTATGCAAAACTTATAATTTAATATCTTCAATTGATTTAATAAGATCATCAAATTATAATTCTATAAGAGATTTTAAACAATTTTATTATTAATTAAGTCCTAAAACCAATAATTGTTTAAATTATTCTTAACTATTTCTTTCAGTCTGTATTTATTTGTATACATTTGATATTTATTGAACAGCTTATTCTATTTATTTAAGATATTAATCAATTTAAAGATAATTATGAAATTTATGTGGACCAAATAATGCACAATTTACACATATATACTAACCATCTTCTTGACAGACTAATTCTAGTTCTTTTTGATGCAATTTGCATAGACTTGATTTAGGTAATGCTTCTTAAGATTAAGATTAAGAAATGTGCTTTTCACTTGAGAAATCACTAACATCCTTTAATTAATTGTGAATCTATTGTTATTGATCATCAGGTGTTTAAATGGTTGTAACACATCTACCTGATGATCGTCGTTTCTTAAGTAATGTAATAATACTTTAATTATGTGGAAAACATTTGATATCTCTATTAACATTGCATTATATTCTTAAATATATCTAAATAGATGTATACCCATCTTCTTTGCAAATTAAGGATTACTCTCCAGAAGTATATTAATTTACACATGATAAACAGATTGAATGACCACAACTAGGCAAAACTAGAGGTGAATGATCAGTCTGATTGAATTCTATCGAACATTAACAACACTAAAATTCCATTAATATTTTATATTTTTTAATGTACTATGATATAAAATTTTCATCTATAACTCTTTTATCTTCTGGCTCTAGCACCCTTACCACCAAATTTTCTTGGCTCACATCTTCTTGGATCAGCAACCAAAAGTGTTCTATCATATTATAATAATAGATCTTTGATTTCTCTCTTTTAAGTTTCATCAATGTATTTTTGATAGTAAGCAACGATACCCTTGCTGATGGCCTAAATAATATTTAAGATTGCTAATTCTACCTATCTAATGGCATAAATTTAAGCAGTGCTTCCTCCACCTCTAACTGTGACTCTGATATCTAATCTACCTGTTCTAACTTAACCAAGAAGTAATAATGGTTCGAGAGCCTTTTATCTCAATGGTGCTGGATTGACTAATTCAATTGGAGCTCCATTCACTCTAACCAAACCTTATTTTATTATTATTAAGTACCCTTTCCTTCTCTAACACTTGCACTTGCTACAGCATTCTTCTTTCTTCCAAATGTTTGAACCAATTTTGATTTTATTTGAGGAGTTGACATATCCAAGAATTAAATAATTTAATTTAATCAATTTTTCATTATATATGTACCTATGAAAGAATTCAAATTAAAAGGAACTTCAATCACATATCTAATATTCTAAATAAATAATACTTTCTAAATATTAAATATGTTAAATAAAGAGATTATTTTAAATTATATTTGAATTGATTCTAATAATTCAATATGGTCTTTATTTTCTAAGTTCATCGAGCAAAGCACGGCCTTTAGCCTTTTCTAATTCTATTTTTTTATCGTATTCTTCTTTTTATTTTCGAAGTGCTTCTTCTTCCTATTATTTTTTATCTCTTAATAATTATTATCTTTGTTTTTTCTCATCCATTTAATTTATTAAATTGTGTTTTGTTTACATAATTTTCTAAACAGATTTCATGTATAATTTACTTCTTATTCTAATCTTTGTTTTTCCTCTAATTCTTTTTGATATAATTCCATTTAACGTTGAAGTTCCAATTTATCCATTTATTTAACATTTTTCTCATCTTCTATTAATTTCTTCTTTATTTCCACATTATCTGCTCTTTAAGCATACACTTCATACATTAATTTCACTCTTGCATCCTTACAATAAAAACATTTATTACATCTTCAGCTTTCCATTTAGCCTCTTTAGTTTCCCATTGTCTATTATTCTCTTCATTAATTAATTTTTCCTTTAATTAATCATTTACACTATATTCATTTGTTCTATTCTTAAAATTAAGTAAAAATTATCTTGTTTCTTCTTTTTATCTTTATTTCTCTGCTTATTCCATCTTTGCAATAGCCTCTTCTCTTGCTAGTACTTATGAAATCATTTCCTTATCCTCAATTTTCTCTTGATGTTTAAGTTATTTTTTATATTCCTTTTATTATTCATTATTTAATGCAATTTCTGAATTTATTTCCTTCTTATAATTCATAAATTGATTTTCTCTTTATTTATGTCTTTCATCCTCTCTTTTCCATTCTTCTTTCTAAAAATGTGAATNTTATTATTATTAAGTACCCTTTCCTTCTCTAACACTTGCACTTGCTACAGCATTCTTCTTTCTTCCAAATGTTTGAACCAATTTTGATTTTATTTGAGGAGTTGACATATCCAAGAATTAAATAATTTAATTTAATCAATTTTTCATTATTTATGTACCTATGAAAGAATTCAAATTAAAAGGAACTTCAATCACATATCTAATATTCTAATTAAAGAATACTCTCTAAATATTAAATATATTGAATAAAGAGAGATTATTTTAAATAATATTTGAATTGATTCTAATAATTCAATATGGTCGTTATTTTCTAAGTTCATCGAGCAAAGCACGACCTTTAGCCTTTTCTAATTCTATTTTTTTATCATATTCTTCTTTTTATTTTCGAAGTGCTTCTTCTTCCTATTATTTTTTATCTCTTAATAATTATTATCTTTGTTTTTTCTCATCCATTTAATTTATTAAATTGTGTTTTGTTTACATAATTTTCTAAACATATTTCATATATAATTTACTTCTTATTCTAATCTTTGTTTTTCCTCTAATTCTTTTTGATATAATTCCATTTAACGTTGAAGTTCCAATTTATCCATTTACTTAATATTTTTCTCATCCTCTATTAATTTCTTCTTTATTTCCACATTATCTGCTCTTTAAGCATACACTTCATACATTAATTTCACTCTTGCATCCTTACAATAAAAACATATATTACATCTTCAGCTTTCCATTTAGCCTCTTTAGTTTCCCATTGTCTATTATTCTCTTCATTAATTAATTTTTCCTTTAATTAATCATTTACACTATATTCATTTGTTCTATTCTTAAAATTAAGTAAAAATTATCTTGTTTCTTCTTTTTATCTTTATTTCTCTGCTTATTCCATCTTTGCAATAGCCTCTTCTCTTGCTAGTACTTATGAAATCATTTCCTTATCCTCAATTTTCTCTTGATGTTTAAGTTATTTTTTATATTCTTTTTATTATTCATTATTTAATGCAATTTCTGAATTTATTTCCTTCTTATAATTCATAAATTGATTTTCTCTTTATTTATGTCTTTCATCCTCTCTTTTCCATTCTTCTTTCTAAAAATGTGAATAAATAATTTTACAAGCATTTATTTTTCCTATTCAATTTCTTCCTTTGTTTTTTAATGTTTAACTTCATTCATTTTTGTTTGTACAGCCAAAACTTTATTTCGTTCATCTACTTTAGCCTTTTGTTCCAATTCCTTCTCCTTTTCTAATCTCTCCTTTTTTAGTATTTCCCTTCTATATAATTCTGCATAAATCATTTCCTCTATAAAATATAATTCTTTAATTCTTTACCCTCATATTGATCCTCTAACATTTTTTATTTCTCCATCATTTGCATATTTCGATATGCTACTGCTTATAGTTCATTAAATTGCTAAGTCACCATTCTGAGTTCATCAGCATTTTCTCTAAATCTACGATTATATGCTGCTTCTGCTTATTTAGCCCTTTCAACCTCTTTTCTTTCTTTTAAATCAGCTACTTCTTTCATCATTCTCTCTTTAACCTATTCTGGAGTTTCAACCATTGCTTTAATCTCTTATTAATATTGTTCATGCTCTTCATTAAGTAAAAATGCTAGTTTTTCTCTTCTTTAATTCTTATTAGCTTCAGCTTCTGCACGAATTTATTGAAGTCTAAAATATACTACTTCAGAACCTATTCTTTGTATATTATATGTTGGCAACATCTTTTCCTTTATTTTCCCAGGCTGCAAATGTTCTCTCATAATGCTCTTGTCTAAGTTTTGTGTTCAATTTGCCTACATATTATTCCTATTATCTTCTTTGGTAGATTAATTGTTCAGAACGGTTACGAGTAGAACTTTATATCATATTTAATTTAATAATTTTCATTAAGACAAGAATTATTCCCTCTATTTAAGCAATTCATCCAATAATGGTCTAACATATTTTGTCTTTATTCTTGTCTAACATGTATAAAATTCATCTAATCTGATTTTATATTTCTGTTCATAATCAAATGCCTAAAATAACATTTCTAATTTATCTAATTCTCTAACGACTTCTGCTTCAATACTTTCACCATTCTCATATTCTTAATGAATTTTATACAGTTCATTTTTAATATCTTCATCTAAATCTTGAACCATCATTTTCATAGCATTATCTTCCTTCAATTTCTTTTCATTAGCTGGAATATTCTCACTAGGAATTATGTCGCCTACAATCACTTCTGCTAAATCATGTAATAATGCAATCTTTATGCATTTATCTTTATTTAATTCATTTGTGGGCAAAGATAAAGCAATCATTTAAATCATCCAACTATGATCAGCAACTGATTCCACTTCTTAAATTAGTGGAAATCTTGTCCATCCTTTTCTCTTAACAAACTTTAATTATTAAGCAATATTAAAGAATTTCACATATTTTTACATATTTTATTTTTTTAATTACTAAAATTAATAATAATTACTATTTAAATTAATGAATTAAGACTTAGATCAGAAGTCAATAGTATAAAAAGATTATCATAATAATAGGATTAAATAATTGATAAAAAATTAGCTATGATGGAGGCTGAATATGAGATGTTTAAGAAATATGACAATCCAAATTACAAAGGAGCTGATTATCCTATTGATTAAATTAATAATTTAAACATTGAAAATGAATAAAAAGAGAAAGATGAAGAAAAAGAAAAAGAAAAAGAAAAAGAAAAAGAGGAAAACTAGAATTTAGATGAAGATGATGAATTTTAAGAATTTCAAGGTTATGAAAAAATGGATGAAAATTCTGATAAAGAAGAAGATGATGAAATAAATTATGATGAAGTAGAACATATTGATCCTTTTGCTAAACCATTAGATGTAGATCTAATTAAGAAATGTATGGCAGAAATCTAATTACCAACTCCTGCTTGGGCTTAAAGTATGTAAGGATGGGAATAAAAATTGAGTTAAATGAAATAGCTATGATAAATTTTTTGAAAACAAAAAATATCAGTAACCAATAGTTGCTAATGTCACTAACAATGTAGCACATGTATCAGCCTTATTTTCATCCAAATCAAGATTATCCAATATAGCCATCTTTATGTGCTACTTTCCCAAATCTTCTTAATGAGAACATAGTTTTGCTAATTTATATAATTATTCAAAATGCTATCCTAATTTTGTTTCTAATTTATCTCTCAAAATTTTTGAACCAGTTTAATTAACACCTCGAGGTTGTGGTTATGATTTTGAAGTATTAACATTTTATATTTATTCTGAATTACCATACATCCAAGTATTAATTTAGGTTTTAGGAGATAAGGTATCAATATTTTCTCTTAAATCTTCACTTGAATCTTCTGAATATATTCTAGAACCTTCAGAATCATTTTATCCTTATAATTGAAGTTCTTCTATTTTTTTCGGTTATTCTGACTAAAATATAATAAATAATAATATTTACAAGTACATTTTTTAATTCATTTATCATTTCTTTCATATCATCTTCGCTATTTCTTTTTTATATTATTTATGCTTTTTTTTAAAATGGATCCTTGAAAATAATTTTATAAATTTTTTTTTTATTTTTTTCCTCATCTGTTTTTGAAAATGATTATTTATTTGGTTTTGTAGGTTTTTTCTAAGTGATATCAAATACTTATAACTAAGGTTAAAAGTCTAATGCAGCAATATCAATAGTTTATTTGTTATTTTAAATATATTATTATTCTTCTGAAGTTTAAAAGTCACTAATAGTAGTTTTGTCTAATAATTATTATTCTGGAGTTTCTGATATTTTCTATAATTATTATTATTAAATTATTTCTTAATTTTATTAAGTTGTTATTATTTCTTAAGATATCTTTCTATCTTTCTATTTCTTAATAAATTATTCCAATAATTTTGGTTAGACATGAACTTTATAAACAGGTTTTTTAGATTCATCTTCAGATCTTTATCCTAATTTTATTTTTTATATCTAATCTAATTTAGATAATCCCTTTATATTTTTAATATGAGGTTTATCTAGAATATTCTAAAAAAACTTAGGACTTCCTTATTCACTATTTTTTGTTATTTCTTCTATTATCTGATCAGAACCTTAAAAAGAATCAGGACTTTCTTTTGTTATAAATCTAGAATTCTTAGATTTATGTCCTTTTCCTAAATCTGGTGTTGATGGTTAAATACGTTAACTAGGTAATTAATGTAATTATTATCGACTTGTTTATTGTCTTGAAATAGGAGGTCTCTCAGGTTTAGGAAGTTTAATTTCTGGTAATTTTTTAAGATCACTATTCCTTCTTTATTTTTATTATCCAATAGGTGGACTTTTGATACCTGGTAATTATTATTATATTTAATTTCTATTTTATGGAGTCTATTCTGTTTAAACTACTTTTGCATCTTAATCATCTATTAAAGGAATAGTAGTATCAACTAATTGAATCTATTGATTATGTAATATTGTATGATCAAACTCACTTCTCTTCATAGTTTCAGATAGAAAATTCTTTATTCTATTTGTAATAATTGGCATTCTTAATATTTGATGAACATCTGGTCTTTTTTCTGGATTTACTGTTAGAAGTTAATTCACAAGGCTATCTTTGTTTAATTATGAATGTAGATTTACGTTCTTAATTGAGATGAATAATTATTCGAGATAGCTTAATATTATCCACGAACTATTTTTAAAGCTAATGATGCTAATGAATCTGCATTAAATGGAGGTGTTTTAGCACACATCTAAGATATAATTCTCTTATATACTTCGTATAATATCACTCCCAATGACCAAACATCACCTTTAAAACTATAAGGTTTATTTTCTAATAATTCTGGAGCTAAATAATATGGTGTACCAACCATTGTATGTGCTTTATCACGAGTGTTATCCAATAATCTTGCAATACCAAAATCTCCTAATCTAATTCTCATATCCTTTGTAAGGAACATATTTTATGTTTTAATATCTCTATGAATAACTTTACGATCATGACAATGTTTAATTGCTAAACACATTTAAGTAAACCAATCTAAGATTCTAGATTCTGGAATATAACCTTCATGATTTTTAATCAATTGTGCCAGATCACCTCCTATTTTGAATCAATTAATTATTATTTATACCCTCAGCATAATCCATTACTATACATAATTTTCCTTTTACAGTTTTGTAAACTTCTCTAAAGTTGATTATGTTTGGATGCTTTAGTTAAGCCATAATTCTAAACTCTTAATAGGTTTCCTAAAAATTTTAAAATTCTCTTTACTTTTTTTTCTTCTTCTCTTAAATATCTCATATCCATTTGTTTAATTACACAAAGAGAATGATCTTTCAAAGACTCACATAAGTAGGCTTTTCCAAAAGATCCTTATCCCAACAATCGAATTCTCTTATAAACATCTGATTCTTTAGGTCTCATTTAATAAAAATAACTTAATATAATTATCTATAAGTTACACTAAAATAATATGTAACAAACATATAAAAACTTATTTACTATTTTAAATTATTGGTTTAATTTTTTAACCAAAATTGTTAATATAAAGAATACATTATTTTTATATTATGAGTAATTCTCTGACATAATTTTAGAATTCATTCTAACTAAAATCAATTGAATAATTGTTTAATTGTGAAAAAACCGATTAAAATCAAGATATTTATTCAGAAATTATTTCGAATCTCGCTTCTGATTTTACCTTAATAAATCAGAAATTTGTAATTGAATGGATTTAATTTACAAAAAAATTATAAAATTTGTTAATAGAAGCAGAGGTTAAACTAAAGGTATTAATAATAATTTAGAATAATCTAGAGAGCTGAAATGGTTGGTACAAAAACTACATATTAATTGGTGCACTAAGATTAAGTATCTTTAAATTTGTAATAATAATAAATAAGTGATATAATTAAAAACCTATAATCGTAGATCGAAAAGAAAAAGATTAATATCCCTAATTTAGATTCAGAGTAAATAAAAACAGCAAAATTTGAAAATGACGAAAATATCAAATATATTGAAAAACTTCTTTAAAAGTTAAATGAGTACAATATGGTTCTACTAAAACAAACATTAAATCCTACATATAGTTTTCAAGTTGAGTCATATGATGTTTCTTAAATCTTTTCAGATGAAACCACCTTTAGGACTCATTAGCAATAATAATAAATATCAAACTTAGATACCTTTAAATAGTAAGAATGATACAAAAGTAAAAAATATCATAAGCCATAAATATAATTATTTATTTAATATATAAAATTATCTCACACACCTCCTTTATTTTAGATAGCTCCATGTAATTCACAAAGATAATCAGCATATGATTTTTCAAGTTGTTATTCATCCTCAACTAATTTTGATTGTACTAATGAAGCCTATGGAGAACTATCCATTTTTTATAATAAAATACTTCTGACGAACAACTCTGACAGGAACATATGTGCCACCTCTAATTTGTTATAATGATTCAATGATATTTTAGACTTTGGTGCTATAATCAGTGTCAATTTTTGTAAATAATTCTATCGAGTTTAGTTCTGCAAAAGAATTCACTCCAAAAAGCTAAAAAAATTAAATAATTTAATTACATTCATTAATAATGATTAATTAACATTCTATCCAACATAAATATATATAAATTAGCTTGTATCTAGGATGTAAATTCCATCTGATTTAATTTTATCAATTGTGGTGGCAACATTGTGAGGCAAAACTGTCTTTTCATCATCAGTCATTGTACCCACATAATATTTATCAGCAACAACTTATGTACTAACATCATGAATTGGAAATAATTTAGGATAAAAGAAATTATTTAGAAAATGCATTGATTGAGTCAAAACTAAATGAATTTCAAAGATTCTATTATCTATTCTAACATTTCCATATTTAAGTAAATCACGCTTTGATAGAGTTTATAAATAAAGAGGTAATATTTTAATTGCTTCTGGTAAAATCAATTATCCTGCAGGACTATTACTAGAACACTAAATTAAAATATAAATAATACATATTTTCTATATGCATGCAAAATATTAACAACAGATTCAAATAGACTTTGTCTAATTTGTTTAATTGATTGTACCATAATATTTGGTAGATTTTTTCTACTTAATAATGTAGCAATGCAATCAACATCTCCAGTTTTAAAAATGTTATGCCATGCATTGTTTCCACTATTCTTATTAACAACTTATAATTATAAATTAAAAACTCTAATCACTCTTTATCCTTATTAATTAGTAAACAATAAAGCATATTATATATAAGCTTCAGGATCCATTATTTTTTCCTCTTACTTTAACATTATTGCAATTGATTAATCTGAATTTAAAGAAGATAATTCCAAATCTCTTACAGATATTTTTCCACTACCTGTATAATAATCAAATAATATAATTCCTGGAGAAGTTCTAACAGTCATTATTAGATCATAAGCATAAGCCCTTGTAAGATTTCTATATAATGCATAATGCAATTCTGTTCCATTAATTTATTAATTATAATGAGGATAAAAATAAATACTTCCCCCTGTTATATTTGAAACAGGAGAAACAGTAGCTAATTCAAAATTTTCATCATTTGCAATAAATAAATCAACAGAGATATGATTTCTGAGACATGTTTATCCTAATTTTACATATGCTTAATCATTAGGTTAATAAAACAATTTTTCCTAATCTGTACCAAATAATTTAGTATCTGTTGGTTTTTATGGTAATTTCCCTATTCCATATCTTGGTGCTGAACATCCAAAATACAATATACGTCCACTTCTAGGTTACATTAATTATACTGCATTTGATAATACTGTTCCAACTGAAACAAGTTAATTTGCTTATTAAGTTATTGTTTCACCAAACTTACTTAGTTTTTCTAACATATAATCAATTTTATCTCTATCTGTCTCAATATTTAAAAAAAGCTTCTCTGGTGGAAGAGGCACATTAGCTTCATCGATTTCACTAACAACTATTATTTAAGGTTCTCCTGTTAAATTTTTTGGAATGTTATAAAATTAAATTTTAGAATCAAATGTTATAAATGCAATATCTGTTTTATTTGGATATGGAATTGTATCCAATATAGATTAAAGTGAAGAAATCACTTAAGAATATAAACCCTTTGCAACTGATATCTGTGTCAATTCTATACAAAATAATATTAAATTATTCTTTATTTCCTTTTTTATATAACTAGTAGGTGCTATGATTTCATAAGATCCTTTATTTAATTCATCTCTTTAAAATTTATCACCTCTTTAATTTCCTTAACCCAAAACACAATAATAATCAGGTGGCACTTAATTCTTCATTTTACAGATATTGCAAACATAAATATTACCCCCTTAACCAAATTAAAAGTAAGGACTAACATATGCTTTACATCTCTAACAACGCAATGGTTCATTTGTAAATTCAACTTATGGTAAATCAGATTCAAAAAGAGATGGTTCCATAAGTGGTTATACAACAATACCAAATGGAATCTCTGTTTATTGTAGAATAGATGGCTCATTTCCTATTGCATATACTGAACTTCTCATATATCTAGGTCCGCAATTTCCTTCATCAAATGTTTAATAAAATTAATGCACAGATGGAGGATGATATAAAGGTGCAGGAGCTGTAGAGAACCTCTTATAAATATTAATCATTACTATTAGTATAAAATAGATTCTTCTGACTTTATGTATGGTCTAGGAATTTAATCAACATCAATTTTTGTTGGTTTTCGCTACTACTCTACTTATTATGGTGGAAATTATTATTATGGTTAATATGGTTGTTATTGTGGGTGTTATTATTGACCTACATACTATTATTATGTATTGTATTATTATTAATGATTTTCATGTTATGGCTATTAGTATCCATTTGCTTATCTTTGTTGCACAGGAGCTTATTACACAGGTTGTTCAGGTTCTCGATTGATTGGCTATTACTATTGAGTTCTTCTTAAATGAGGTGGTAATCGACGTTCTTCCATTATTGAACACGTAAAATTATTAATTAAATTTAATTATTTCATAACTTATTTATAAGCTCATTCTTAGAATTCTTCTGATTTCTTCTTTGACCCTTTTAGCAGAATCATAGTTTAAAATCTACTAAATATTCTATTTTGGATCTTAGGGCCATCAATGTATTACTTCTAATAGATTTTCAAGATAACTTCTTTCATCAATATTGACCATCAATCCATATAATTTATCCTAAATTATTATACCTAAAATGCAGGATGACCAATATCATTTATGAAATTTTAATAGAATTCATTAGGTATTAAATTTATTACAAGAAGTTCTATTCCTTGAGTTCCTTCTGAACATAATATATAGTCTCTTGTATGATTTTTTTCATATCCAAAGTAAATAAATGTTTATTAATTTGTGTTAATTTAAATGAAGGATCTTAAATAGTGTATGTACTGGCCAATAATTAATTAGTCTTTATAAATACAGCTTGTGTGTGATATCCTATAAATTTATCCTCACCTGTTATATCTGGACTAGTAGTTAATCTCACTAAATCTCTAAAATTATTTTCCATCTTACCCATTTAAAAAACTGCCGTAACTCCATTTCTATAATTAAATATCATTCAAAAATCTAATTCATCACTGTATACAAGAGATCAAAAATAACTACATACTAATTTAATGATAAAATTTAATGGATTTATTAATATCATCAACATCAAAAGTTACCATAAAATTATTTATTAATTAATCTTAAATTCTTTTAAATTGAATTTTTACCACATGTCCCGTCTTTATAAGAATACTATGAACTCGGCAACAATCATTATACTAACGAAAGGAAACATTATTCCATATAAATTTTAAGCTTTCAACCGTCTTTGATAAATATGATAATATCCTTTTGCTCTATTTCCTTGAATTGTGTAAATATTATAATAAACTTTACTTTTTTTTGCTTCCTCCAAAAATATGATTGAATTTTATTTTTCTATCTCAAGACTCCTTTTTCCTGGAGTCATATTCTTATTTGATAATAAATTAAAAATGTTTTTGGTTCATTTATTTTAAGATCATCGATCCATATAAATCATAATCTAATAGCATATTCCTCAATAATTAATTATGATAATTATGGATTAAAATGAAATGATTCACTCTTGTCATTTCTTCTCAAATGTTATGGTTTATTCAATATATTTTTATGAATAATTGCTGGAACTTTTAGGGTGAATTACCCAAAATTTAAGGGCTTCAATTAATACATCATGATCAAAAATGCTGGATAATAATTCTTGTTACTCTATCCAAATATTATTTATATGTAAAAAAGAGGAATGTGATTAGTATCAATTTCAACTCTGTAAATTCCATTTCCTTCCCCAAAGCTAAAAACATAACCAAGAGCATTTAAATGTTCCCATAAAATGAAAAATCTTCAAACTCCTAATTAATAGTCATTCGAGAAGAGAAATAACACACTCTTTCTTCTCTATCATGCTATGTTCACTATATCTTACCAAATTTTCATAACTCTTTTCAGGTAAATCCTATATTAACGCCCATCTGTAAGTACCCAGAATTTTCTCTATTGAATTTAGATTTCTAAAATATGACAATAAAAGTGAGAAATATCTAGTGTAGGTCATATCTATTTGAACAGGAATACTTCGAATAAGATGCTCTAATATTATAATCCTAAGAAATGACTACTCTTATCAATAGCATGAAATTTATAGAGCTTTTCTTCCTTTTTTTATAAAAATAAATATATAGTTTATTTAATTGAATTAAAATTCATACTTCTCTAATCCCAAAATTCTGTGTATCTTATTATCCAATTCTAATTATTTAGTTAGTAGATTTGGTTGTAGATTTGATGATAACAATTAATTTTGCCTTAAAATACTGTTAAAATTAAAGTGATAGTTACCTTTTTTAATTAAAAATTATATGATTCTACCCTAATTTTAAAACTAAAATTCAAATATTTAATATTAAAATACAAAACTTATAGTTCTGATGTTTAATAGTCAATAAATTTATTTATAATAGGATTATGAATAATTTTTCAGTATTTATCAAGAATTTGACAAAATCTTAAAATAAAATCCTTAATATATATTGAAATTTTAATGAATATAGCTTTAGAATCATATTGATTTTCAAAAATTTAATCTATTCTGCTGATTACTTAAACGGATAGTTTTTTTATGTTCAACTATTAAATAATTAAACCTTTATTAATATTCTAATTATGATTAATATTCTTAATTTAAGTTAAGAACTCTTACAAACTGATGAATTTAGTCCTCACTTATTTGTTTTTTTTGATTTATGTTGAATATGAATAATTAAAAAAAATAAATAATATTTATTATTCTAATTAATTATGTCATTCAAGAACACGTAGAAGTATAAAGATCAAAAATTTACTAGCCAACTAAATGATTGTGAAGCAATTTCAGAAATAAAGATGAAATTAGAGAATGTACCTGAAAATACAGCTTAACTTGATGATCAAGGAGCTGAACTTATAGAGTCTTAATCTTAAATAAAATTTTTTTTAGAAGAATTAGATAATAAGCAATAGGATGATATTTAATAGGAAATTAAAGATGATGAGGCTGAAGAATATGAGCCAATACTTAATACTCAAACATAAGTTGATTAGAAATTGATATACTAATAATAACAACAATAAAAATAAAAGTAAATTGAGACATTTCATTAAGTCAAAGAAAAATTATAAAATAAACAGACTGAGCCTTTACCATCTGACAATAAATTAAATTAGGATATAATTTAAGATGATATTGACATTTCCTAGAGTAAATTATGCAAAAGTTTGTTAAAGAACATAAATGATTAAGTAAATAATGAAGATACTGAATTAATAGCTTAGCTTTATAGTGAGTTAAATGAATTAAGACAAAAAAATAAAGAAATTCAAATATAAAAGGAATTTTATCAATCAGAATTGAAAAGAGTGAAAGAACAATGTTAAAAAGATATGAATAAATAGAAATAGATTTTTGAAAATGAGATAGTTTCATTGAAAGCACAAATAAATTTAGCTAAAAAAGTAACAAAATAGGAGACATAAAATTTAACAACAGCATCATTTTAAGAAAGATAAGCAATTTTAAGGGATTTAATGAATAAAATAAAAGAATAATAAGATTAAACATAAGAATTACATTTGAATTTAAATGAAAAACCTGTTAATCACACAAAACTAAATAATGATTTAATTTTAAACCCATAAACATAAACTTAAAAGTAACCCTAAGTTGTGGGTTTGGAATAAGAAATTGAAAAGGTTTTATAAAAGGAAGAAGTCTAACAAACAAATAAGAAAAAAAAAGATGCCAAATAATAGGAATCGCCTCAAAAATAAAAAGTTGTTATTGAAAAATAAGCCAACCCACCTCCACCTAAAAAATCAACAAAACAAATTAGAAATATTCCTCCTGATATCAAACAAGATAAATAAAAATAAGCCCCACAAGTTAAAACAGAAAGCTAAAATGAATCTAACAGAGATACATTACTTAATAATCAAACCTCAGACAACCCTGAAGATTTTTTCAATCTCTTATCAAATCGAAGTTAATAATTGGGATAAGATTAATAGGTGTTATTCTAAAATTAAAAAAATCAAATGAAATAAAATACTGAAGATCATCAAGAAGAAACTTACAAATAAGCAGAAGTTGAAGCATAAGAGAATTAAAAAAATCCAGAGACTTTATAAACTGTTATTGATAATAATTTATTAAGTAATGAAAAGAACTCCTAAATTGCTCAATAAGACCCTTTCTCTCATAATCATAGCTAAATACCGACTTAAAATACTTAAAAGGCATAAAAACAGATTCCTAAATAAAGGAGAATAAATTAGGGAGGTAATAGCATATAAAATGTTCCAAGTTCCTTGTTTGATTGAATCAAATATTATGAGTTTAATTATATATTAAAAAGGTATAAAAATTAAATTAATAAAATTAAATTTTCTTTATTTTCAATGAATATTTATTTTCTCTCTTTATGATTAGAAAGGCTCATATTTTTAATTGTAATATTTCCCAGATTTTTAGAAGGAGCAATAATTTTTAATTAAATTAGAATTATTTTAAATTCATTTTACAAATATTGAAAAAAAGATTAATGAAAAAAGAAATTTTATTTGGATCTTTAGAAATAGATTGGAAAAATTTTAATAATGGACTGATAATTATATTCATAAATATATAAAATTTGAATGAGTTAAATTGATTTTTGTATAATTTTTTATTAATAAATTCTATCTAAATAAGAAACTAAAACACATGAGCATAATGAATCCAAAATTAAAATATTTTTAAGAATAGAATTTTGAAATAAAAAAAATAAATATTAATTACTGATACAAGTTTTTTGGGGTTATTTAGAAATTGATTTTAATGTAAAAAATATATATCATTTTTTTGATTTTTGAGAATACGATCCCATTTTTTTAAATTACTATGAAATTTTATCTTTTTACTAGATAGCTAGTTAATTAGTTGGATTTTAGATAGATGTTTATGAAGCATTTTAGCTTTGATTAACCTTAAATTATTTAAAATTTTTACTGAAGGAACTTCTAGTTATCTATTACTCTTTTGGGTGCTTTAACTAGTATTTTAACCACTTTTTTTTTTATCATCACTTTGGTAAGAAGATTTTTATTAGACAGCACTAAGCAATTATTTTTATATTTACTATTTTGTTTATTAAGGTTAAGGACTAGCAACAGTTTTGATAGTAGAACTACGGGAATTTGACCCCCTGGCTAATTATTAAGTTTAGGGAAGTTAAGAAATAATAATGGAAGTAGATGGAGCTTATGCAGCTCTAACTGGTTGACCAGATTTGATTTAATTTGAAGATAATTACTATTGCTCTTTTTATGGAGTAGCAGTAAATGAGTTTCTAAAATTTAGTTATTTTGGTAAAATTTGTGATTGAGATTTAACTAATGTTCTTGATCCTTTTTCATCAGGGCTCAATTCTATAGGTTCAGCTTATTAGCCCTATTCTGGAATCTGCTCCATTGCTTAAATTTTATTTTCAGTTAGCATCTAATTGTATTTTATGATGTCATCCTCATTGAATTCAATAAAGGTTTTTAGCCTATGTTCATTGAGAGAGGCAAATCCACATTTAGTTCCAAATTTTTTAATTAATCGAATTGCCTTTGAGAATCTCTTAAATTATTAACTATTAAATATAAATAATTTTTACTTTATTAAGTTAAATTCGTCAAATCCAATTCTAACATTTACTAAAATCATTTTTTGAAGAAGTCTTTTTATGATTTTGATGCCAACAATAGAGTTAGAGCTCATATTATAATCTTAATCTGAAAAAGGACTAGAAGAACTTCTATTATTTTTGTCTGATCCAACTCTATTTCTTAGAATATCTTATTGAGACTATTTTTTGCTATGATCCTTTCTTTCTAATTGTTTCAAAAACATTTTATCTGTTTCTGATATATCAGAAATATTTGTTCTATTAATTATTGCTTGATCATCCATAAATTATTCATGTTATTATTATTAACCTTTGTTCGTTCCTTGAGTTTTATTTTGCTATTCACTAACATTGATTAATGATTTAGATTTTGTGATTTATGTTTATTCTATAGCTTAAATTAATGATAATTATGAACAGCTGGACTTACTTTTTTTAAGATTTGGTTCTTAATATTTGGGGATTCTTAATTAAACATTAGAATTATCATTAGATTATATAATTTTTACATAATTTCCTTCTCTATTTTTGCTAAAATCACAATTTTTATAAAACACCAAAGATCTATTAGAAACTTTAATTCTTCGAACTAAAGTTTGATCTTAACCAATCTATTCCTTCAAATCTTCCCCAAAGACTAATTCCTCGTCTTTATAGTTTTTTCTTGTAATTATGATTCTTTGTTTATTTCCTTTTCCTTCTTTTACTACCTCTTCAATCATTTAGAAAGATTCATTCTTGCTCAAGATTCTTTACCAAATGTTGCTACTCTTTTCATACCAACCTTTTTTCATTAAATCTTATGGTTAAATTGTCTCTACTACTTGCCTACTTAAAATTACAATATCCTCTTCCTACTCATATAAATCCTCTCCAATCTCTAGATCTAATTCTGCTTCTATTGTTTTTCTTTGTAGACGACGCTCTACCTTTTTAGTTTAAGGATTCAATATCAAAATTTCTTCTTCTATAGTTTTTGGTTACTGTTGCTTTCTTTTATCACTTGAACTTGCAAGTAGCTTATCCATTCTGGACCCATCGATATCTGGTACTCGTATACCTTAGCTATTTAGCTCCTCATTTGATCGATATTATGAATCTCTTTACTCTTGGCTGTCTTCATCAATTTAATACATTGATCTCTTTATATTAATATTTGCATGTTATTTAAAATATTCTTTAGGAGCATCAGTAACCTTTTTCCAACTTTATAAACTATCAATCTAAAATTAATTTATAACTTTTCTTTATCTGATAATAAAACCATTAGGTTGTTTTTCATTTAAATTTTTTCCAATCTATACTTCTGTAATATTAACCTATTTTTATATAGCAAATAATTCTGTTTATCCTGATTTCTGATTTGCTATTTCCACAATCTCTTCTACAAATTAATATGGATTATAATCCAAATCAAGATTTGTAACAATCCTTCTACTTATTATTTGATTACCATCAGAATCCTATTCTTTTAATCTTTTTCCAATTTATCTATTTACATTATAAGGAAACTTTAATTAAATTATTTCCATTTCATTTGTCTTTGGATTTAGAATTTAATGCTCTTCTTCAAAATATTAAGAATCTTGATTTATCAATTGTTGGGATAAAGCTGAATTAGCAGTAGGTTAATCTCCTAATTTTTTTAGTATTCCTTAATTATCTTTAACCCATCCCTCTTATTTAAGAGCTGTTAAGGTTTAATTATTTTAAATAACTTTTCTTGATAATACAAAACCTCCATCAGTTCTGTTTATTTTGCCTTCCCCATAAATAAAGGGCCTTCTTTCAACTACTAATTTTTATTGCCCATCTTTATCAGTTAAAAGCACTTCTTCTTCTATATACTATTCAGGCTCCTGCACTGAAAGCTACATTACTAAAGTTCCATTTTTTTATTTAATCCATCCTTTATTTGAATTATTGTCAACTATTTTTCTTGACAATATTGTATTTCCTAAAGGATCCACTTCTTATATTGAGTCTCCCATAACAAGATTATCTTAGACTTGCCTTCTAAGAAGTTTTCTTTCCAATTAACCTGTTTCTTTATTAAAACTTAAAATCTCTTCTTCTATATACTTTGAAGGCTCAGAAGAGACAATTATTTTTTCCATCAATCCTTCCTTATTAGTTAGCCATCCCTCTTTTTTTTTGGCTTCCGAAGAGATATTGTTTGGAACAAGTTTTCTAGAAATTACTTTATAACCTTAATACTATTCGTCTATTTCATCACCAAATTTTGTTTTTTTATCCTCAAAATAAGGCTTTCTTATCAGCTTTCGTTCTTATTTTCCTGTATTTTAGTTAATAATTAGGATTTCCTCCTCAATAAATTATTCTGGTTCTGAAAAACTTACTAATCTAGTAAGCTTGCCTTGTTCCAGTTTCCATCCTTCTCTTTATTATTACTTAGTTGAAGATATATTGTCAATAATTTTTCGTGACAAAATTTATTTCCCATCCTTATCAATCTCTGTTAAATTGTCTCCAATTTTTAAATTTTATGAATTTGGTGAAAATGGCCTTCTTATTAATTTTCTTTCAAGTTATTAATTTTAAGGATTCATAACTAAAATTTCTTCTTCAATATATTTTTATGGTTCTGCTTCACTTATTATTTGTTCTTAATTTCCATCTTATATTTATTACCATCCTTGTTATTTTAAAGCATCAGAAGAAAATTAATTTTAAATAATCCTTCTGGAAATAACTTTTTCTCCATTTTATCCTAGCTCATTTAAACAGTCTCCATAATTAATCTATTCATTAATTTTATCAATGGGTTTTCTGACGAATTTACGCTCTTGCTTGCCTGTTTTAGGATTTATTATTATTATCTCTTCTTCAACGAATTGTTCAGGTTCCTCTTATGAAATAATTTTTTCAAGAGTATCATTTTATCCTTTTTGCCAATCTTTTTGGACTTAATTAAGGGATGAAGAATTATCGACTATTTTTCTTGATAAAATTCTGTTTCCGTCCTTATCTACTTCATTTAAGTTATTTCCCATTTAGGAATTTTCCTTCGTCAATGGTCTCCTTACTAATTTTCTCTGTAATCCATTTTCTCCATAACAAAGTACTTCTTCCTCAACATACTTAGTTGGTTCACTTTAAGCTAATTAAATTTCCATCTGTCCTTATTTTTGTTACCAATCTTTCATTTGATCGATAGACTATTCATTAGAAATTATTCTTCTTGCAACCACTTTTCGAGTGCCGTCACCTTCTTGTAGATTCTCTCCTATCTCGCCTACATCTGATTGAGTCAAAGGTCTTCTAGTTAATTTTCTTTCTTATCTTTAAGTTTTTGGATTGATTATGATGATCTCTTCCTCAATATAAGCTTCGGGTTCTTACTGCGAAACCACTTTCTCTTATTATCCATTATTTAATTAAATCCAGGATGAGTCAATTGGCTTGTTATTTTAAACAATCTTTCTTGAGACAACTTTATTTCCATTTTAGTCTTTTTCTATCACTGCTCCAGTTTGTAATTTGTTATCTTAAGGTAAGTAAGGCCTTCTAACTAGTTTTCTTTAGACATTTCCATCCTCGCCTTAAACTAATATTTCTTCCTCAACATATTTTGCAGGTTCAGGTTGAAATCTGATTTCCATGTTTCCATCACTATTTTTCACCCAACCTTGCTATTTCAGGGCCTAATTTGATTGATCATTTTAGACAATTTTTCTTGAAATTACTTGTTTACCATTTCCCAAATCTTCTTCCAAATTTTATCCCATTTACAAATTATCTATTTCTTCATTATTAAGTGGTTTTCTGACAATTTTTCTCTCTAGTTTTCCTGTTTTTGGGTTGATTTGAATAATTTCTTCCTCAATAAATTGTTCTGGTTCTTCTGAATTTAGAATGATCTCTTCTTATTTTCCAATGTTCTACCATTATTGTTTGGCTGCTTTAGGTTATAGATTGGATTCTATTTTACGTGAAAGCACTTTATTTCCATTCTTATCCACTTCATTTAATTAATCACCTTCTTGGATCTTTCCTCCCAAATAAGGTTTTCTTACTAGTTTTCTTTCCATCATTCCTGTTTCATTGTTAAATTGTAACACCTCTTCGGTAATATATTGAGAAGGTTCAACCCCCAAAGATTATTCATAATTTCCATCACTATTTTTTTTCCACTTTGAAGAAGCAAGCGACAAGTCATTATCAACAACCTTTCTAGAAACTACATAACAACCATCACCTAAATCCTCTAAAAGTTCTTCTCCTTCTTCTATGTTCTCATCATCATCCAAAGGTCTTCTTATAATTTTCCTCTCTTGCTTTCCTCCTTATCTCACGATAATAACTTCTTCTTCTATAAATTAGGTTGGTTCTTGAATTGATAAGGTTTTTTCATAATTTCCTTAGTTGTTTTTCCATCCTTCTTTTTCAACCTGCTAAGTTGATGATGTATTTTCAATAACTCTTCTTGCAAGAATCCTATTTCCATTTGAATCAGTTTCTTATAAATTATTTCCCACATTCGAACCAGGCTAATATTATTTTCTGACTAATTTTCTTTCCATCTTTCCTGTCTCTTCATTCATTACTAAAACTTCTTCCTCTATAAATTTAGCTGGTTCATTCTGAACAATTAATTTTTCTAACTATCCAGTTTTCTAATTTTTCTTCCATTCACTTAGAGAGCTGTCATTTTAAACAATTCTACGAGACACAACTTTTTGGTTATTACCTATTGATTCGTTCAATTAATCTCCAAATTCCTCTTCATTTTCATAAGGACGTCTAACTAATTTACGCTCTTGCTTGCCTGTTTTAGGATTTATTATTATTATCTCTTCTTCAACGAATTGTTCAGGTTCCTCTTATGAAATAATTTTTTCAAGAGTATCATTTTATCCTTTTTGCCAATCTTTTTGGACTTAATTAAGGGATGAAGAATTATCGACTATTTTTCTTGATAAAATTCTGTTTCCGTCCTTATCTACTTCATTTAAGTTATTTCCCATTTAGGAATTTTCCTTCGTCAATGGTCTCCTTACTAATTTTCTCTGTAATCCATTTTCTCCATAACAAAGTACTTCTTCCTCAACATACTTAGTTGGTTCACTTTAAGCTAATTAAATTTCCATCTGTCCTTATTTTTGTTACCAATCTTTCATTTGATCGATAGACTATTCATTAGAAATTATTCTTCTTGCAACCACTTTTCGAGTGCCGTCACCTTCTTGTAGATTCTCTCCTATCTCGCCTACATCTGATTGAGTCAAAGGTCTTCTAGTTAATTTTCTTTCTTATCTTTAAGTTTTTGGATTGATTATGATGATCTCTTCCTCAATATAAGCTTCGGGTTCTTACTGCGAAACCACTTTCTCTTATTATCCATTATTTAATTAAATCCAGGATGAGTCAATTGGCTTGTTATTTTAAACAATCTTTCTTGAGACAACTTTATTTCCATTTTAGTCTTTTTCTATCACTGCTCCAGTTTGTAATTTGTTATCTTAAGGTAAGTAAGGCCTTCTAACTAGTTTTCTTTAGACATTTCCATCCTCGCCTTAAACTAATATTTCTTCCTCAACATATTTTGCAGGTTCAGGTTGAAATCTGATTTCCATGTTTCCATCACTATTTTTCACCCAACCTTGCTATTTCAGGGCCTAATTTGATTGATCATTTTAGACAATTTTTCTTGAAATTACTTGTTTACCATTTCCCAAATCTTCTTCCAAATTTTATCCCATTTACAAATTATCTATTTCTTCATTATTAAGTGGTTTTCTGACAATTTTTCTCTCTAGTTTTCCTGTTTTTGGGTTGATTTGAATAATTTCTTCCTCAATAAATTGTTCTGGTTCTTCTGAATTTAGAATGATCTCTTCTTATTTTCCAATGTTCTACCATTATTGTTTGGCTGCTTTAGGTTATAGATTGGATTCTATTTTACGTGAAAGCACTTTATTTCCATTCTTATCCACTTCATTTAATTAATCACCTTCTTGGATCTTTCCTCCCAAATAAGGTTTTCTTACTAGTTTTCTTTCCATCATTCCTGTTTCATTGTTAAATTGTAACACCTCTTCGGTAATATATTGAGAAGGTTCAACCCCCAAAGATTATTCATAATTTCCATCACTATTTTTTTTCCACTTTGAAGAAGCAAGCGACAAGTCATTATCAACAACCTTTCTAGAAACTACATAACAACCATCACCTAAATCCTCTAAAAGTTCTTCTCCTTCTTCTATGTTCTCATCATCATCCAAAGGTCTTCTTATAATTTTCCTCTCTTGCTTTCCTCCTTATCTCACGATAATAACTTCTTCTTCTATAAATTAGGTTGGTTCTTGAATTGATAAGGTTTTTTCATAATTTCCTTAGTTGTTTTTCCATCCTTCTTTTTCAACCTGCTAAGTTGATGATGTATTTTCAATAACTCTTCTTGCAAGAATCCTATTTCCATTTGAATCAGTTTCTTATAAATTATTTCCCACATTCGAACCAGGCTAATATTATTTTCTGACTAATTTTCTTTCCATCTTTCCTGTCTCTTCATTCATTACTAAAACTTCTTCCTCTATAAATTTAGCTGGTTCATTCTGAACAATTAATTTTTCTAACTATCCAGTTTTCTAATTTTTCTTCCATTCACTTAGAGAGCTGTCATTTTAAACAATTCTACGAGACACAACTTTTTGGTTATTACCTATTGATTCGTTCAATTAATCTCCAAATTCCTCTTCATTTTCATAAGGACGTCTAACTAATTTACGCTCTTGCTTGCCTGTTTTAGGATTTATTATTATTATCTCTTCTTCAACGAATTGTTCAGGTTCCTCTTATGAAATAATTTTTTCAAGAGTATCATTTTATCCTTTTTGCCAATCTTTTTGGACTTAATTAAGGGATGAAGAATTATCGACTATTTTTCTTGATAAAATTCTGTTTCCGTCCTTATCTACTTCATTTAAGTTATTTCCCATTTAGGAATTTTCCTTCGTCAATGGTCTCCTTACTAATTTTCTCTGTAATCCATTTTCTCCATAACAAAGTACTTCTTCCTCAACATACTTAGTTGGTTCACTTTAAGCTAATTAAATTTCCATCTGTCCTTATTTTTGTTACCAATCTTTCATTTGATCGATAGACTATTCATTAGAAATTATTCTTCTTGCAACCACTTTTCGAGTGCCGTCACCTTCTTGTAGATTCTCTCCTATCTCGCCTACATCTGATTGAGTCAAAGGTCTTCTAGTTAATTTTCTTTCTTATCTTTAAGTTTTTGGATTGATTATGATGATCTCTTCCTCAATATAAGCTTCGGGTTCTTACTGCGAAACCACTTTCTCTTATTATCCATTATTTAATTAAATCCAGGATGAGTCAATTGGCTTGTTATTTTAAACAATCTTTCTTGAGACAACTTTATTTCCATTTTAGTCTTTTTCTATCACTGCTCCAGTTTGTAATTTGTTATCTTAAGGTAAGTAAGGCCTTCTAACTAGTTTTCTTTAGACATTTCCATCCTCGCCTTAAACTAATATTTCTTCCTCAACATATTTTGCAGGTTCAGGTTGAAATCTGATTTCCATGTTTCCATCACTATTTTTCACCCAACCTTGCTATTTCAGGGCCTAATTTGATTGATCATTTTAGACAATTTTTCTTGAAATTACTTGTTTACCATTTCCCAAATCTTCTTCCAAATTTTATCCCATTTACAAATTATCTATTTCTTCATTATTAAGTGGTTTTCTGACAATTTTTCTCTCTAGTTTTCCTGTTTTTGGGTTGATTTGAATAATTTCTTCCTCAATAAATTGTTCTGGTTCTTCTGAATTTAGAATGATCTCTTCTTATTTTCCAATGTTCTACCATTATTGTTTGGCTGCTTTAGGTTATAGATTGGATTCTATTTTACGTGAAAGCACTTTATTTCCATTCTTATCCACTTCATTTAATTAATCACCTTCTTGGATCTTTCCTCCCAAATAAGGTTTTCTTACTAGTTTTCTTTCCATCATTCCTGTTTCATTGTTAAATTGTAACACCTCTTCGGTAATATATTGAGAAGGTTCAACCCCCAAAGATTATTCATAATTTCCATCACTATTTTTTTTCCACTTTGAAGAAGCAAGCGACAAGTCATTATCAACAACCTTTCTAGAAACTACATAACAACCATCACCTAAATCCTCTAAAAGTTCTTCTCCTTCTTCTATGTTCTCATCATCATCCAAAGGTCTTCTTATAATTTTCCTCTCTTGCTTTCCTCCTTATCTCACGATAATAACTTCTTCTTCTATAAATTAGGTTGGTTCTTGAATTGATAAGGTTTTTTCATAATTTCCTTAGTTGTTTTTCCATCCTTCTTTTTCAACCTGCTAAGTTGATGATGTATTTTCAATAACTCTTCTTGCAAGAATCCTATTTCCATTTGAATCAGTTTCTTATAAATTATTTCCCACATTCGAACCAGGCTAATATTATTTTCTGACTAATTTTCTTTCCATCTTTCCTGTCTCTTCATTCATTACTAAAACTTCTTCCTCTATAAATTTAGCTGGTTCATTCTGAACAATTAATTTTTCTAACTATCCAGTTTTCTAATTTTTCTTCCATTCACTTAGAGAGCTGTCATTTTAAACAATTCTACGAGACACAACTTTTTGGTTATTACCTATTGATTCGTTCAATTAATCTCCAAATTCCTCTTCATTTTCATAAGGACGTCTAACTAATTTACGCTCTTGCTTGCCTGTTTTAGGATTTATTATTATTATCTCTTCTTCAACGAATTGTTCAGGTTCCTCTTATGAAATAATTTTTTCAAGAGTATCATTTTATCCTTTTTGCCAATCTTTTTGGACTTANAAATTTTGCCATTTTTACTCCAATTACTGACAGAAAATTTACCTTCAATAATTTTCCTAGACAATATGATATTCCCATTATTATCTTTTTCTTTTAAACCTGTCCCTACTTTTCCTTTGCATAATTCAACAGGCCTTCTTACTATTTTTCGTATAATTTTCCCATTTTTATCTTTAACAAGCATTTCCTCTTCCACATATTATGTAGACTCTGCTTAAGAAATTTATAATTCATAATTGCCTTCTAAATTCTTTTACCACACTTTGCCTTATTACTTTTTTTCATCCTTATCTATTATTCTTCTTGCAACAATTTTCACACCAAAATCACCATCTTCATCCAGTTCTTCACTTATTTCTTGCAATTCATTATCAAAGAATGGTCTTCTAACTAATTTTCTGTCTTATTTTTTGGTTGTCTAATTATAAATCACAATTTCCTCTTCTACAAATTATTCTGGTTCTGATTCAGATATTATTTTTTCTAAAAATCCTTCTTACGTCAATTACCATCCATTTTATAACATCATTTATTGAGATTGAGAATTATCAACTATTTTTCTAGAAAGGACTTTAGTTCCATCCTAGATTTACTATTTATCCCATTCATCAGCTTTTTCTTTATATGGTTTTCGTATTAAAATTTTTTCAATTTTACCAGTATCCTTATTAAATCTTAAAATTTCTTCTTGTACAAATTTTACAATAATTTTACTTTAATCATCATCTTTTATTTAATCTTTCTTTTACTCTTAATATTTTTATATTTTCTCTGGTGAGTCCATTTTTACTTAGGCTTTTTGATTGCCCTCTATCTATTGACTTTAGATTTATTCTATTCCAAGATTTCTTTCTAGTCTTGACATATTCTCAAAGTACCAGCCATCTGCTTTCATTTAAGTTATAGATTCATTATTTTCAACTAGCCTTCTACTTTCAACAATATCCCCATTCTATTATTCTTCATTAATACATTCCCCAATAGTCAGCATTTCAGGTGTTTTTCTTACTTATTTTCGTAAAATGCAATTACCCTAAAAAATTTTAATGTCTTCTTCTAAATACTAAATAGGTTCGTTTACAGAAATAATTTTTTTATATTTATTATTACTTGTTAGTTCCCAACTTTAATCAATCACCCCATTAATGACTCGACTTGCGATTAAAATTTAATCCTTGCCTCTTACTGTATATAAATTTTCATCATTAACATATGTTGAAGAGTCTAAGAAAATGATTTCTCTTATTAAAACTCTATCCTACTTCTGCCTATTTCTAATTAAGATTTCCTCTTCAAAGAATTTAGTTGTTTCATCAAATTTTTATATTGTTGGAGAATTGAGTATTGGAGAAGTATTCAATGGATTTTTGAAATATTTTTTTTATCCTGCTATTCTGCTTTATCCATAATTGATTTCTTTATCTTGAGTTCCAGTTTCTCCTACTGATAAATCGTCTGCAATGCTTTATCTTCTTTTAGAAGTTGCATCTTCTAATACATCCTCTGAATAATTAGATTATCGTTTTAAACCTTCTAATTGAGATCTTACTGTTTCCATTTATTTATTAAGTTCTTGATCATATCTTCTTTCCTTATGAATAAATTCTTAAATTTTTTCCTTTTCTGAGCTATTAGCCCTAGGATTTATCTCCTTGATCATTTATCTTATGTCCTAAGCAGAGCTACTTCTATTTGAGTATACTCTTTCTCTAAATTCAAAAGCAATTTAAGGATAACTATACATAGAATTAATTGTAATTTGAATATCCTAAATTAAAAGTCTCATCAAATTGGCTTTTTTAACAGGAGATTTTGTTCTACTTTCAGAATAATTAACAAAAGAATGGGCTAAAGGTTGTTACATATTTGGTGTGCGAGACAGATATGATTTTGGAAGAACTGCTGATTGCTTTAAGGGTGTTATTGTTGATTTTTAAGATTTTAAAACAATGGGCTAAGGAGAATAATATATTCTCGATTTTTATAAGGGTAGTGCAACTTTACTAGGGGTGTGATTTACTTAATGATTAATTATCGAGATTTTTAATTAAGTCTCTTATTTATGTGCTTCAGATATTGAGTATTACTATTAATAAACTTGAATTGAACTTGATATTCCTTTTTTTTATTTTGCATCAATAAAACGCACTCTATCAACAACAAAGCCTTGCATTGAGTTTAAGGTGAATTTTATTATATTTTGGGGTAAAATAGCTGAATGCAAAGCTTTTTCTGCATTATCATATCGGATTTATTCATAAAGAGCCTTCATTTCGATTTATTCATTTTGGCAAAGATTTGCTTTGTCTATTTTTATAAATTGCTATAATTCAGTTAAGCAAAATAGGTGTGTATCATTTTAGGTAACATTATGAATTTTTAATCGGATGTCCAACTTTTTAATGACGAGTTGACCTAAAAGTAATAGATATAATTCGTTTTTATCTAAAAATAAAGTTAATTTTTATACTTGTAAGCAAAAATGAATATTGATCGTTAGGCAAAATTTCAGAAATTACAAGGTGTTCATTTGTAAATTATCTGAATTTTTATATCACCCATTTCTAATTGCTATAAAAACTTGATTTAAAAGAATCCGATAATAAAAATATGTTTGAAGATCCTAAATTTTAAGTACAATATAAAAAATACCATCAATAAGTAAAATGTAATCCCTTCCAGCACAAATTTTATTAATTTTTATCGTTAAGGTGTTTACAATGTATGGTATTTCTGAATTTCCTATCGGTGTCTGACCCCATGTCCACAATTTTCCTGAATAATCAAGACCACATGCAAGATGAGAGGAAAGCGACACTTATTTAAAATCTGTAGCAATTCTACTAGGAATAGGTAAAAAGTATATCTTTGAAATTCCAAGAGTGCCATAATGATTCTTATCGTCTCCAAAAGAATACACCTACCCAGAATATGAAAGTGCTAATGTCACATTTTTGTTTGTTGTGATATACTTAATTTTTTCATTCTTGAATGGTAGCTAATAAAAGGAAAGCTCATAGCTGATATAATATAGGCACCCTGTTTCAGAGAGTATCTAAAATGAATTTGAGGAAAAGCCTTTACAAATTTATCTCACCTTACCGAACTATCCTAAGACATTGAATGGTTTATAAGTATTCTAATTTTTAAGGAAATCTTACCTGCTCATCATCATAGATATATAGTATATCATTCATTTTTTTAATTAAATTAAGTTATAATGACAAAATTGGAAGAAGCTGCAAATGATCTTGATTTTATAAAACACAATACAATAGTCATCATAGAACATCTTTTATGAACTTCCTGTTGAATATTTCTATGGGCCAGTGGCAAAAAAAATTAGGATTTTGCACCTAGCTTATTTGCATTGTTATTTGATTATATTTTTTGGGGTTTGATTGCATATGATTGTTATGGTAAATATAATGACAAAGATAAATAGCATATTGAGACTTTAAATTAGAGGGCTTTATAAAGTTCCAATTATAGTACTGACGTAAGTATGAGGATATCTTATGGATTTTTTTATGTTGATAATTTATTTAATATTGCAATTTGTGAAGAGAAATATCTGACTAACCTAAATTATAAAATCAAAAAATAAACTAGACTTAATAAATTTGTTAAACGATTGCAATGGATAAATTATTTGTAGCTTATATACTTACTTTACTATTTTTTATATAGTGTGTTTTATGCATTTATAATAAAAATAAAAGAAAAAGAAATGCAATTAAAAAATAAATGCTTGTATTGAAATTCTTAAAAAGAATAGCAGATGAATTTGAATAGTTTATTTGTTAAAAATTCGGATTTTAATTTAAAATTAGGTGCCATTGCTAATTAAATTGCAGTAGGTATTAATTTGGTCTATAATTTATTAAGTAAGAAAATTGTATTTTATAAGATAAGATTTGTTTATATGATGACCTAAGGTTTTTGAAAATAGTTATAAGTAAAACATTAATTATGAGTAAATATTTGGATAAATAAAAAGAAAATTTAATTTAAAGAGAATTTTCGAGTTGTATTAAAGTTTCTTGTTCATATGTAACAACACATAAAATTTTTTTGATTTATGAAGAAAATTTATTTTATTTGATATCTGTCTGTTTATATATACTAAATTTAGAATTAAAAGTGAAACTAAAGTGACTAAAAAAAATACTTTTTTTCAGCAATATCTTATTTTTTTAATTAATATTAATATAAATCAAATTTGGCTTTATCGTTCCATTTGACCAAATTCTTTCAACTACTTTAATTTATTATTCCTAGACTTTTTTCTTTTTTTTTTTTTGAAATACCTATTCTAATTTTTCCAAGCATCATATTTTGCTCTCTCTAAGACTTTTAGTTTACTAGGAGTTAAACCTTTGCTAGGCCCTTTAAAAATCTAATTATAAATATGTTATTATCACTTATTTATTTAAAAAATGCATAAGTTTTAATATTTGTGAGTTATCTAATTATCATTATCATGTGTTTGCTGATTTTATATATTTCTAAACAAGATCAAACTTTTCTTAAATTGCGCTCATTTATATTAATAATTATTAATTTAATTTAATTTAGTTACTTTTATTCATTTTTGTAAAAATAAAACAGTATTATTAAAATTAAAATCATTATTTTTTTCACCTTTTTCATAAAATATGGATTAAAAATTTCATTTTTTGGAAATAGAAAGGATTATTCTCTAGATTTCCTAGCTTTCTAAGGTTTCACCATTGTGAAATAAAGATAATTAAAGTTATCCTAACTTTTTATAACGTGAACAATTAAGTATCTGAAGATTCAGATCCTTATATATATATATATATATATATATATATATGCAGGAGAACCTGAACAACACACGATACTAAAGTAAACTATAAACGCACATTAGATTAATATTTAGCAATGAAAGATAGTATTTTCCTAGACAAATTAAGCGGAAAGATTAAAATCAAAAAGATAAAAGTATAGATTTGAAATTAATTGAAGAGTCTTTAGTAGATGTGATTGAGTAAGATAACTAAAAGAGTTAAAAATTAAATTATGTTTTATTATTTTAGTAGTTACTTATTTTTCTAAAATGAATGAACATTTTTAGATAATTTTTTTTCAGTATTTAAAAAATGGCTTTATATTAATTTCTGATAAACTGTCCTAAGT